CTTTAAGCGGTAATGAACGAGATATGTACATAATACTACTCACAAAGGCATATACACAGTTTGAAAACAATATGTAGACATGAATTGATCCTTTACTAAGTAACTTGGATATCGATCTTATAATGTAATAAAGTTTGTAACATTCTATATTCTTATTGCAGTCTCACATTTTTTACTAGTATTTCTGGCAGATATAGGTTGTGATTTATTTTTTAAATGCATATAATTATTTTGATATTTTAGTTCCGTCTTGTTATGGTTTCCCAGACAACGTCTCAACGTACGAAACAACAACCAATATTGATGATAGTTGCTCGTGTCCGACAAATGAAGAATATGATCTTAGGTAAAAATGATAGCCCATTTACTTACATGTATATTAAAACAGTATAGATCTGCATAAAATTTGAAACGATTGAATTTTTTTTTCAGATATCTTTTGATCTTAATTTGGGCATCAATTTCAACTGTTCTTATTTCCATCTCCTTCTTAATTGTGTTAACGTTGTACAATAGAATGCGAAATGGTAAGTGAATTAAATGAAGAATATCAGTAATGTAAAAAATGCAATTTTTTTTTAAATTGATAATGAACTATAGATTTAATTTAATGAAACTTTCAGAGAATCTTTATTACATATTGCCATTGTGACTTACTAGTTCATTTTTTTATTCGACACGTATTTTAGGTTTCCCATAGCAAAACATGCACATTGCCATTATATGTTTACCTATGACGTCACATATAGAAACTTCTGGATAACATTTGATATGACGAGTTATTCCTCTTTACACATTACCGTAAAACAATATATATATATATATATATATATATATATATATATATATATATATTAGTGAGCTCATTGCTCACAGTACCTCTAGTTTCTCTAGATAACTTTGGGACCTCATATCCTGTTCATTTTTGCAATGTATTTTGCTCAAATTTTCAGAGTACTTTATTACAAAACTCTATATCAGAATGCTTAAATACCTTTTTTAAAAAAAAAAGCTCTACCTTCATTCCATTTAAATGAAAACTTGGTAGCCTTCGTTATCAGACAAAGGCTCCGAGACGACAAAAATGGAGCAGTATTTCTAATGAATTTAAATAATACAAGCAATGAAATTGTGCACATCGGTTCCTCTTTTTGGGAGTTGAACTATGTTCAATCTCCCATGGTCATCAGGCATTTAACATACGCAGTAATTTATGTTGATTATATAGAGCTGAAAGAGTGGCTACTGTTTCGGCCGATTTACTCCGATGATATTCAACAGAAAAAACATGCATAAACATCCACCACAAATATTTCAAGTCATTTTCTCCTGAATTGATCTAATGGTTTTCATAATTTGAATTGTAAGTAAATGTGATGATAACGTAATCTTATTTGAATAATAGATTTCGTTCAAAGTAAAAACTAAATTATAAAGAATCTCAAAAGTTTTTCGTTATGGCACTTATTTTTAGTGAAGCGTCACACACTGAAAGAGATACGAACGACAACTCTACATACTGACAGCAAGTGGTAAATCTAGTCTTCCCGACACCCGACGGTCCCAGAATTTTTAGCAATTTCTTTTTTACCTGTGCACAGAATTTATTCAAACTTTTCATGAACATTTTCTTGGTTTAAATGAATTCATTAATGAATACAAACTTTAGGAAACATGCGTATTTATTACTAAATCAGCAGTGAATTATAGAAATGATCAACCCCCTCTAATATGAATATAATGGCAGTGTCCATGTTTTGCAACGGGAACCTAAAATATGTGTAGGAAGAAAACGTAATAGATGGTGCACAACGGCAATATGTAATCAAACTTCTATGAAAATTACGTTCAGTGGTTAAGTGGAGTTGCGGATAAGAGATGGATATACCTAAAGCGTAACAAACAGATGGACGGAAATCCCGATAAATAAATACATGTACCCTCCCGCTTTTCAAGCAGGGGCATTCAATTTCTTAAAAAGTAGGTCAGACTCCAAGGTCAAGGTCAAAGGGTCAAAGTTGTTGTTATCAAATGAAAGGTCTTGTCATAAGGATCAAATATATAAAGTTTGAAAGGAACTAGCCCTAAGTCTTCAAAAGTTATGGTCAAGTTCGCTTTTTTAAAGTAGGTCAATCTCAAAGGTCAAGGTCAAAGGATCAAGGATCTTCATATCCAATGAAGGGTCTTTTCACAAGGATAACATATATGAAGTATAAATGCCCTATCTCTTACTGTTCAAAAGTTATGGCCAAGGTTATAGTTTTTCACAAGTACAAAAATCTACAAGGTCAAGGTCAAAGGGTCAAGATTGTTGGTATCCAGTGAAAGGTCTTTTAACAAACATTAAATATGTGAAGTAAAAAAGTCCTGGTATCTACTGTTCAACAGATATAGCCAAAGTAAAATTTTAACATTTTCATGTAAAAGTGGGTCAAACTCCAAGGTCAAGATCAAATTTGGTGGTACCCAAAGAAAGGTTTTGTCACAATGAATACACGGATGAAATATGAAAGTCATAGCTTCACTTAATCAAAAGTTATGGGTAAGGTTAAAGTTTTTGCGGACAAACAGACAAACAGAGAGACAGACAGACACGAGAAAAAACTATATACCCCCGAACCTTCGTTTACGGGGACATAAAATATTTTCATGTCATTCACTCGTTACCAGTTTCCGATACCTCGCTGTGCATGCTGTATTGCTATGAGTTCAAATCGGATAATCTTACTATCCAACGCTTAGTTGGTTAGTACCATTTGTCCAGTTATAAAATCCTTGTATCAATAGATATTGGTGTTTTTCCCGGCAGCAATATGTTTCTGATAAATTCCAAGTATATTTTGCTCGTTTTTACAAAACTATTGTTTTTATTGTATTTTAATTTATATAACATCATTTGTAGATAAACTATTTAATCAAATAAACCGTTTATTACAATATTTATAATTATTTCTTGATTAAAACAATGTAGCAAAGGGACGTGATGTTCTAGAAGCTTCCGTCAATATTGAGATCGGTGTTTTTACACTTTTTTCTTTTTTGTTGTTTACCACAACTTATTTCTTTTATATCAATTGAATCGAGTTTTGATTGAATAATTCAGAGATAACATTTTATGAAATAAATAATAGATTGTTTGTTTTCAGTTTCATTAAAATTTGTCAGTAGCTTAGATCCGCCAACCGGAAACGCCACAATACTCACGTTGATGCTATTTCATGACTGTTTTCAGAAAATTGAAGTAGACTTTAATTAATTTTATGTACGATACTTACTATCCGAGTGAAATCTAAATATAGTTTATGGACATCATTTTGTATGTAGTGTAGTATTAGAGGGGTAAGTAAAGACTCTTGTGCACCCATTTCGGAGTTTATTTGCAAAATTTATTAATTCATAAGTATAGATGTTGTTTCACATAAAGATATTATAGGCATTCTCCAAAAACTGATTGACTGAATATAATATAACTCAAACAAATTCCTTGCAAATTAAAAAAAAACCCTCATTTGAATTTATAAAGAAAAATGCTTAATATGAATCTTCCCCAATTTTAACCAAATATCGCTTTTTTCCCAAATGAAAAGGCCCAATCCCTTGTTTTTAAGACCTAAAAAAACCCTGCTATATATTTGTTAGTTTGGTTATTTGAATGTGTGTTCACAAAAAAGTAAACCTGCACATAACATTTAATTGTTGAATGGCTTACATATTTCGTAAGAATATTCCTTATGACAAATTTTTCTTTGGTACCATTCAATTATACCCTGCCTTTAGATTCTGACCTAGATTTGCAAAATCCTTATTAAAAAATCTTCCTTTAGATACCATAAACTTTGATCTGTTGCCTTTGTGTTTGACCGACTTAAAAAAAAACATAAACATTGATCAAAACTTTAGAACAATAATGGCTTGAGCCTTCATTTTTGGCATATGTAATTTTCGTGACAAGACCTTCCTTCAGATACAAAAATTTTTATCTTCTCCCTTAACCTTGAAGATTCACTTACTTAACCAAAACTTTTAAACATGCTGTGCTTCGGCCTTCAAATTTCACAATGTATGTCTTTTTTTGTTGAGAAGATCTTACTTTTGGGTACCAACGTATGTTTTGCATTTGAGAAAGATTAATTTTACTTTTAATTCACCAATTAAACAATCTTGTTTTGCTAGGATTATTTACTGAAAATTCTGGACGGAGTGAAACAGACCAACTTAGTCAATTAAGTAATATGAATACCGATTCTCTAAACGAAGAAGTACATTTTCGAAAAAGGGTCAACAAAACTAAAAAGAAAGGTATTGATACTAATAACTTACACTTATCTGTCATGTATGATTAATTTGGTCGATAAACGTAGAAAATATTGATTATTTGCAATTATTAAAGATTAACTATTTCTTTTGCAGACAGCCAAACAAGTGGAAAAAATGAATTTGGTTCGAGTAAGTTTATGATAAATCGATAACGTGTTGACATAAAAAGCATATTTTTTTTTGTCAATAAGTAAAAAACAACATGCAGGGGTTATCAAAAGGTTTGTGGACTTATGCGATATTAAACTAATTCTGTTACATTCAAAGTTTACATTTAAGTTTAATAAACTTATCTATAACTATATAAAGTTTGAACTTTATATTTAAACTTTTAATGTATCATTACTATGTAGTCGATGATTATGAAATTATAAGGAACATCAAACGCAGACGTTAGAGAAATGTTGAAAATATCAGCCTGATACATGAAAAAGTTACTATATTCTCATTGAATAGAAAAGGTAGAATATGATTAAACGGCGCCGTAGTTGTTAAGTTTCATGATTACTGTCATCGTCATTATCTATCTCCACTCCCTTTGCCTCAAAACACTTATCCTAATAATATTTCTTATAATGAAATAGAAACTTTTCGTTGTTGTTTTTTCACTGTACAATGTCATGGATAGCTGATTTCAACGCATTAATATTTTAAACGGATCTAAATAGGGAAAAAATACTCGTTTGATTATTTCATCAAAATTTACCTGTCGGAGATCAATGTCTACCACACATGATCAACGTTATTTTTTGAGGTGGCAGACTTTAGATGATATATATGTCACAAAAACTGTAGTCTCTTCTTTCAATGAAACTGCTTTGTAATTTTAAAAAAATCCCCTAGATGCATTTTTATTTCTCTGTAGGCCGTTCAAACATTGAGGAGGTTTATGCTTGAGGTAAAACGTTATAAAATGTTGGAAAATGACATCCTCCTCTTTTTTACGTCATTTTAACTACTTGTTATTTGGACACTAAATATAAAATTTAGGAGAAAATTTCTTGGAATCTACGGAACAACTGTATCATATCGAATGGATAAATTAATGATTTTAAATTAATTAATTTCGGATGATATCAAATTAGTTTTTTCTCAGTTGCACTCAGGTAGAAAATGTGTCATATTCGAGGTTGCGCCTCCTTGATTAAATTGTTAACAAACGCAGGTATGTTAAGGAAGCATATAAGTAATTTTTCGGGAAATTCAGACTTTTTAAAGAAAATTTAGTTTGATAATTTACCAAAACCACTTATAAGCGTAAACTCTTATTATCTATTGCATAAAGATAAAAGAGTGTCTAACGCAACGACTTGCAGCACCACCACAGCATCACGTGACTTCTATTAATAGCGAAATTTTCCTTAATAAAAAAGCTAACAGAACAACAATACCCCGGAGTTTAATAATTTCTTTGAGTAAATAATGTAGTTGAAAAACATCTATTTTGCCTAAAAAGTGCTGCTAGAATCCCATTGTCCCGTCAGTAATATAATTATTCCACACATTCGCACGAAACTTCCCCGATGTTTTGATTTTTTTTTACCTTTGAACCGAGATTTTTTGTAAAACCATGCTTAACTCGGGATTCTAGCAGCACTTTCCAAGTATTATAGGATGCAAACTTTCCATCTGTACAAATTTTATGTTTTGAAATATACAGCTTATTGTTGTTCTGTTGCATTATTTTTGTCACAATTGACAGAGGAAAGGCCGACCGGGATACGCATATAGCTGACTGTCTTCGATAGAGAATATAATCAATAAATATAGATTAGCATACCTGTTTTATTAACTGAACTCCATATAAATTTCACAAAATACTCACGATATTTGATTTCAAACTCCATTTTACGTATCTTTGTTCAAGCTGTCATAGCCAAATTCTCTTTACACGACATGATCAATTCCCGATCAATTACCAAGTTACATGATGTACACATATGACGTCATCGGTGGTGGATTTTAATCAAAATGACAGAATACATCATAACGAAATAAGAACATTTTATCTTTGTGAATGTTTACACGTATCTACTCATTTTCTAGAGTTAATGTGCATTTCTAAATACCAATATTACAAAAAACTTGAGTTCTAAAATTGACGTCATCTCGCCTACTATTACGTCATAATGTAGCACTGATTTAGTAAAGGTAGAATATTTTGTATGCTTCCTTATTTCCCCTGCGAAGTGAACAATGTGTAGAATAATAAAAAAACTAACGATTTGTTGATTATTCTACACATAGAAAAGACAATGCTTATTCGAAGTAAAAAACAAGAATCCCATGGGTCACATCGCTTACCTGAGTAACTTGGGTGATGCAGTTCTTTATCAGATTTTCCCTCTTTTTATACCTTTTGTGGTCCCCTACCCCCTACCCTGTCACGATTTTAATACTTTATAATATACACAACCCTAAAATGCTTCCTTTTAAGTTTCAGCTCTCCTAACCAAGTGGTTCTAGAGAAGATTTTTAAATTTTTTCCATATATTTCTTTGTTAAACTTGGATTTCATATCGTGGCCCAACCCTACCCCTGGGCGTCATGATTCTAACAATTCAGAATTTTCACTACATGTAACTAAGGATGCTCCCAAATAAGATTGAGTTTTCCTGGCCCATTGGTTCTTGAGAAGACGATTTTTTAATGACCCCATTTATTGTAAGAGAAACTGGCCCTTTATTTTTACAATTTAAACCCCCCTTACCAAAAGGATTCTTTGTACCAAATTTGGTTAAAATTGGCCCAGTGATTTTTTAGAAGAAGTCGAAAGTGTAAGAAGTTTACAGACTGACGGACAGACAAACGGACGATAGACAAAATGTAATTAGAAAATTTCACTTGAGCCTTCGGATCAGGTGAGCTTAAAATCATTCATGTACCTCAAGCTGATTTCATTTCATGGCACTAGTCTACAAACCTTTTGTACCCTTCGTACATTTTATAACTTCTACCACCTTGATTCAATATACATACTTATGAGAATGCCCAGTACAATTAGAATTCAAGAAATCAATATGCAACGCTAAAAGTTTGATAACGAAGAATATATTGCGTTTGCTATGGTGTAGAATCACATTGTGAACCCTTTGACCTCTATAAGCCCAATTATTTATAAGGTTAATGAAGTTGATCTGACTAATGTAAATTATATGAATCTTCACATGGACCATCAGTGGAAAAATACACTATCAATAAATCGCCATTCACATTTTGTTTCATATATTTTATTCCTAGATGCACGAGAGGAAGGAGCGCAAGAATATATACAACTATTTCCGAAACAAAACTCTGCTATAACTCTAACTGATACTTACAGCATCAACCATATTGCATGTATTTCGGGTGAAATAGCTTGGTTAAGTAACAGAAAAAAGGTAATGAAAATTAATTTAAAGGGTCGTATACTAGACACTTACATCATTGATGACACCAGGGCAAGCGCATCCCACACCGTTGACGTAAATGGAGATCTTTTTTTTATAAAAGACAATGATATACACCGCGTTTCTTCAGATGGAATGACGAAAACTTTTCTGACACCAGCATGGAATGTGCTGAGTATTTATTCTTCCCATATAAGTGATGACTTAATTCTTGGAACTTATATTATCGATGAAAACCACTTTAAAGCAAAGTTGTTGAAATACAGTAAAAATAGAGAACTTCTACAATCTATACAGTACCACCAAGGAAAAAGTTTATACTCATTTCCCTTATTCATATCAGAAAATACAAATAGAGATATTTGCACAACGGATATAGAGAAGTGTGTTGTTACTGTTGTAGATGGTTCAGGAGTGTTTCGATTTCGTTATTACGGTCATTCCACAGAAAAGGGATTCTTTCCTACAGGAATTTGCAATAATATCTATGGGCAAATTATTGTTTGCAATCGTCACTACGCCAATCCCAGTGTTCATCTTCTTAGCAGTAATGGAGATATTGCATTAATTATCTTAACAAAAAATGCAAATGGAATCAATGATCCATATGGGGTATATGCAGACGACGAAGGGAATCTTTACCTGGGACAACATGGTAGTAATACTGTTATGGTGTATAGATACCTTCAGTAACTTTCCTCTTTTTTGGTCATATGCAGCCGAATTGTAAGTGCACCACCTTTTGATTGGATTCTAGGACAACACAAATTTTATCGTTCAAGAACTTTGGGCCGTTATGCAAGACCACAATTAGTCATTATTTAAGCACCCCAGATAGTACAGACGTCAATGTAATCAAGTTATCAAACCCTGAACAGAGGAATTCGATGGAAACGTAGGAAAAAAAGATATATATACTGAAAGGAAAAAGAAACGCAGGGTAGCATAATTGTCGATAAAAATTTGACTACATGACCGAAAATTACGAAAATTGGTCAGATGGGAAATTTAGTTACTGTGCATCAAAATCAGTATTCTGAATTACTCAACAGTAAAATTTATGACGTCACGTAGGGAAAATGTTAAAAAGACCCAAAAAGTTGGCAATTTGATAATGTCGTGTTTTTGTCCACAAATCTTGTTGCATTATTTGATGCATACATGTATTAGGTATGCACATCGTTTTTAATATTAAGAGACGTCATGAATTTATTGCAATCTTGGCACAGTTAACGGAAGTTTAATAGGGTCTTGTTTTCGAATTGCCTAATTAATGAAGAACGCAACAACAGTTTACTACGCAGTCTCTTGTAAATTTACTCCCATAAAACTTTTTTAGCCGTTGTCAGAGAGGATCTGGAATGGATTTAAATCAACCGTGACAATGACGTTAACGCGAAACAGAGCCATGTTACTTGCGGGTTATTCGTACTGCCATCTCATACATCGCCACATTACTACCACAAAAACAGCCATTTATAAGTGTACACAATTATAATCATTACACTCATACGAAATTTGAAAGGAAAAAAATCCGCAATTTGGTTTTTGAGCCACTCAACTTACTGTTGTATTCCTCTCACTGGCGCATGCGCGCGCTGTTTAACTTTTTTTCGTTACGTTTTGGTTATTTTTGATTACCTATGCTAAATAGAGCCAGGGTTTGAAAGATTAACATTCTGATGAAATTCCATGCAAAGGAGAAATAAGACTCTGACAGATGCACAAGATGGACATTGAAGATATTGAGAGTTTTCGATTTTCCCTTTTAGGGGGTATCGTCATTTGAGCTTCAATAACTCGTGAATAATTACACAAAATCATATGAGAATTTGGTTTTATCTTTTTTAAAGATGACTTTAAAAGTTAGATAGAAAAATTTTCGGAGAATTCTACCATATCATTCATTATTATTTCTTATTATTATTTCTGTTAATTGCTACAATGTATACAATGTTTATAGTAGACCATATGTATATATGTTTGTTTTACTTTGGCAATTTTTCATAATGTTTTATTAGGAGAGGACTATCTAAGTTACAGAACTTGTGTCCGATCCTTTTGACTTTGTCAATAAAATATGTTCAATTCATTATTTCTCTTCCATGTAAAAAGCAATAATATACAATCACAAAACACAAGCAATACGAATGAATAATCTAAAACCAAATAAGTCACCATTATGAAATGTCTTGAAAATATTATAAAAAATATTATAAAAAAGTATAACCACTATATGTTGCTTTTAAAAAACTGTATTTACAATAAAGCATGAAAAAATGTCATTAAATGTATGGAACTAAGCCTTTGAAAAGGTTGACCTCGGAATTTGTTTTCTTTTCTTTTTGCAGTGTCCTTAATTAAAACTGTATTGAAATAAATTTTATTATTATTTTTTCTTAGAATTATACAGTGAATCTGATTAGTTAAGGGCATTTCACGTGAGGTGAGACAATTCGATATGTCTCCTTTACGCACAGGATGACACAGTTGTCACCTTTCAGATGGCCTTGACGTAGTAAAAGTAAGCATGTAGGACTACAACTGTATTATGGCCCTGTGAATGAGAAAAAAGTGGATTAAGCGATAAACTCTTATTTATAATTAATGATGTATACATGACTTGTACAACTGCTAAATATACAGGATCGGTAAACAATAAATTCTAACAAAAACGTCAAAATTTTATGTTGACATATTTTAAATGTATGGAATCGAAGCAGAGTATGAAAGCACAAGAGGTTTAATTGCTATTTTCTACTTTATCTTATTGATAATTGTAATGCTCAGGGATAGCAGAAAATTATAGCTAACCTAATAAGCTCTTGAGTAGCACAGCAGCTCTTTAAATTTGTAAGATATAAAAATTGTACGCAATATAATCAATGTCAATTCCATCAGACCTGTGCAAAATCCATGAACTCAATATATAATCAAGATTAATTAACGTTTCAAAAATATAATTCATTTATTCAATAACATACAATTATATATATTAAACGATAGATAAAATATTCTCTCACACATCACACTCATTCATAATTAAATCAATTTAATGTAATCAGAATTAAAATTATGTATCACTAGAACTACTCAAAAACCTCCCAAAATAAAGGGACTGGATAAAGGAGAATAACTCTTTACATAATCCGTAATGAAACATTTTATTTAATGTAAACAGGATTTAATAAACACCATTTGTGAACGGAGTTAAATTAATCAATTGTTCACTACGGTTACCTATATGAAATAAATATGTTTACAGATTCTTAAAATTACAAGAGTGAACATACAATTAAATTACTGTTTTGTTCACATGGTTATCCCTACTCTAAGTATAAATAAAACAACTAGACCACAGTGCATATCACAGTTTATTTACTGCCTTGATATAAGTATGGTTAATATTTACTTAGTCCTTTGTCAAAAATTCTAAACAGAAAAAATATGACTGAAATAAAATAATCAAAGGTTTACTTGAAATTATTAAATTTTCTCCAAATCAATCTATAAAGATTTCCCAATCAAAAATAAACTAAAATCTCAATGAATTTCAATCAAATCAAACATCATTCTATTTCCGAAAAATATCATACTCAAGTAAATAATCACGTAAATAATAACTACAGTTAAAGCACTTCACCAGTTATTATCCCTATGATTAAAATAAATAAAAGCCTAATCCTTTACAAAAATAAAAAAAAAATTAAATTTAAAAATAAAACAGGACGTCAAAACGTAGGAACTGATCACCAAAATTCAATGGTAAAAAAGTATCTGCTACACGTCAAACCTCTGTATTTATACTTAATACCAAAACAATAGTCAAATATCGCGGCAACATTGATAATTAATCATGTGATAAAAATTGTGACATGTGATAGGATAAAACAACAAGAGGCCCACAGGCCTAATAGGTCACCTGAGCATTATGCAACAACTTTCCATTTATTGAATTTGATTCATGTTTAAAGCCAGATGCTATATGGCATTCACAATTTTTAAAGAGGCACCGTTGGTCATCATAACAATACACTTAGCAGTTGCTTAGCTTGGTTACTGAATACCCATACATAAGGTAGGGTAACAAAAATGCATTCCAACTAATCAGTAATATTCAGCAATAGGCAGTAGTGCTCCTTACACTGTGACAAGAACCCCTGACCCTAGGTCCACACATTGCAAAAATTTTAAAAAGGCACCCTTAAAATTGCCTATCAAACAATAAAAAATTGTTTTATAAATACAAAAGAGCAGATTTCAAACAATTAATCCATTTTCAGTATATAAGTATAACCCCTTCCCCCGAACACTGTCCCTGGGTCCATGAAATTCACAATTCTGCAAGATTAGGGCCATTGCTCATCATAACTATATAGGTAGTTCATTTGCTTCATACCCTAAGAGAGAGAAGAAACTTTTCAAAGATTTCATGTATTTTTACTATATAATGAATAGAGCCCCCCCCCCTCCCAACACAAGAACCCTTGACCCTAGGGTCATAAAATTCACAATTTTGGTTGAGGCACTCTTGCTGATTATAACTATGCACTTAGTTTATTTAATACCCAGGAGCAGAGATCATTTTCAAAGAATTCATGTACTTTCACTATATAATCAATATAGCCCCCCACCCCAACACCAGAACCCTTGACCCTGGAGCCATAAAATTTTGGAAAAGACACTTTTGCTCATCATAACTATGCACTTAGTTAGTTTATTTAATACCTAGGATATTTAATAACATAACTTGGGGCAGTTTACGCTTAATAAACCGCGAAGCGGTTTATAGATAAGCGTAAACTGTCCCAAGTTTTGTTATATCGGATAACATAAGTTGAAATAAGCTTCATTCCTTATAATTTTAATTTCAGTGAGACAATATTTCCTCCGGAAAAAGGTTTCAATTTGAACATTATTTCAAAAATAACGTCAAGTGCAGTAATACGTTTTTGACGTAACTCATTGTGACGTAGGCAAGTTATGTTATACAAAATATTATTTGTTCCTTAGAATGATTCATAATAGGAAATTAAATTATTCACGTTTATAACAAGCAAATTTTACAAAATATATTTTGTGGAATATTACCCAAAATTTTTTCGTTGGTTCGAGTCAAGGCTTTCACATTTCAAACTTGTAACAGGATTAGTGATCACGTTCAGGAATATCCATAGCAAATTTGTTTTTTACACTGTACTTGAATTCTGAATTCTTACTAATTAAGTAATCCCCCACCGATGAAATTGGAGAGGATTATAGGTTTCCTTTGAGTCTGTCTATCCGTCTGTCAGTTCATCCGTATGTCCCTTTGTCTGTCTGTTAGTCTATCCCTTTTGGTTTTCCGCAATTTTATCTAAATGCTTTCAAATATTGAGCTGGGTTTTTCTTTAAAGAAATTGTGCATACTAGATTAATAGCAAACGAATGTTTATTACATTTAGAGTGATATTTAAAGATCAGATATCTGGACAAGAACTACGGGTACGCCTATTCATATTGTATATAGTAAAGCCTTAAATTTATCATAAGTATGGTTTTGTATTATTATTATCATCTTTGTTGGAACTTGCAGTAAAAAATCTTACTTCAATAACCTACGTATAGTTAGAAGACAAAGAACAGTAATCAATATCAAAACCAGAAATCATCATTGATAACAAATCGTATCTTTACCTTGTACAATTTGAGAATAAACATATGGCGAACAGTATTCAAGATCAAAAGTCCATAAAACAATCCAAAATAGGAGAAGAGCAAACACGGACCTCCAAAACATCAGAGGTGGGATAATGGAGGAGTAAGCATTCCCTGCCGACCGGTCACATTCACCCTTCTCTCCTTGTCATGATCGGGATATATCGACGAAATCCGTCGACAATTCAATGTAAACATAAACTACTATTATTTTCAACTAGAGGTACTGTGAGCAATGTGCTCACTTAATGATACCCCCGCCTCTCAATTAAATATTATGGCAGTGTCCATGTTTTACTGTG